GAGGCGCTTAGACTTTGCTTCGCATTTCCAGTTTGTCCAATCACTTCAAGAAACATGTTCTACTGCTGCACTTACTGCAAGAAGTTCGTTTTGTTTCATTATTTGCCTTTGCAGCTCAATCTTTGACGCCTGAAGGGCTGCCGGGGCTTGACAAGCTGGCGGCTTGCTGCAACCTCCTCCCCTCATACAAGTATGGTCCCACCTTGAGTAGATAGAACATGGCTTTGGGTATAGTATGATAAGATCTCCCTATACCCCATGTTCTACTAGTATTACTAGTATCTGCTTAAGGGGGACTGTAACTCCACAACCGGAGCCTCAGAGGTCTGAACCCAAGTGCCTCACTCCGAGCCTTGGGATGTCTGCAGTTGTTATAGCTGGCTGCTCATCTTATACGAGCTATCGTCAAAAACTCCTTAACGGGGCTTATACAGGGGAGCGCTAGAGGGGCTATTAAGGGAATAGTAGGAATTTAGACTATAGCTCATATGCTTTAGGTGCAAGTCCTGCCACTCCCGCGACAGCGCAGGGGTTTGCAAAGTCCTTTTCGATGGCGCGGCTGATGCAAAGATTGTTGCCGTGCGCGATCTGGATAAGATCGTGCCGCTTGCCTTCAGTTCACCTGGACATTTGATACACCAAAAGGAGTAGTGGTAAACTGCGGAGCTGTAACCGTCATTATGGTATGATAGCCAAAGTGTGGTGCCATGTTCTGAAAACCGAAATGCCTGTTCATTTCACGACATCCTCCTACTCTTTCTGTGTTGCAAGAGACGCGGACTGACATTGAGGAGAAGCTTTCCCACCGTCAGAGAGGAGTCATCAGAAAATCATGGCACGCAGAATCTGCTATCTCAGGCCTGGACACCACCCCTTCATGGCACCTTGGCGCAAGACCTGCGAAGTTCCTGACTAGATTCACCTAATAGTAATACTGTTTGTAATACTCATAAAGTAACAATAGCATTTATTTCAATGGCAATCGCAAAAGCAACAGAAATGCAGACCCTGATTAGTAAACCTCCTCCCCTTAGTAGGGATTATAATGATCCTAATCTCAAGGCCCTTAAAAGGAGGGGGCTTATTAATCATGGGTCTACATTAATCGAACTGGTGAAACTATCATACACAGCCCTACTTTGGTGCCTTCTATGCGCCCTGAAGCTCAGGGTTTAGGGTTTAGGGCCCACATTCTGCTAGGGGGCAGTCAGAGGCTTGACTGCGAGGATTTCTCCAGGAGATTCGGACATCTTCAACACTGTCAGGACTGCATCGCTCTGTCACAAACGGGGCCGCACATCCCCTTGGGAACGCAATCCATCAAAAATCAGCAGTTATTTCCTGCGAGCCCGGCGAAGGTGGCAGTAGCTTTCATCGCGCAGCTTGGATGAAGTTTGCACATGAGCTCTGGTCTGAACTCCTAGTTTCCCCCTTAACAACCCCTATCGTAATCCCTATATAATCCCCCATATAACCCCTCTTTAGGGAGTTTGGACTATAGCTCATATGCTGTTTAGTTCCTTAGCCATTGGTTGAGGTCTTCAGGGAAGTCATTTATCTGGCAGAAGGTGACACTTCTACAGAAAAACCGTGGTTGCTGAGAGCTTCGGTGCGTGTGTCATCCAGTATTTGGAGGTTTGATGTTGTCATAGAGAGCGGGCCACCGTTTCAAGTACTTAATGTGAGCAGCGCTGCTGCAACGGAGGATTCCGAAATGTCCAGACACGGCGTCTGCTCTGTAAACCCATAGCCGGATGGGAGTTGCGATTCGTAACAGTGAGGTGCCAGGTTGTTCCAGTTATGGTGTCGCTTCACGGAACCGTTGGGGAGAGAGCAACAACCAGAACGGAGGTGATGCGTAATCAGAAGAACTGTTAGTATTAGTTATTAGTTATCTGCTCTCCAAGGCATATCAGATCAAGAGAGAACGGTTGAGAAACTAGACACAGGTCCTGATCATCATCAGGCGGGCTTCAAAGGTTGAATGCTGGGGCCCTGAATCCGCCGCTAATCCCGTCATATACATGAGATTTCCCGAAATGACATCCCCCCTCTTGATACGGTAGATCCCCCTCAACTCTCAAATGGCCACATTTTCTCTCATGTATGTGTAGCTACTTCTATACGTATACTTGTAGTTTTACAAGTCTATGTATACTTGCCACATATTCATCTGTTCGTTTTGTCCATGCCAATATGTGGATCAGCCCTGCCTAGGATCCCCCAAAATCAAACTGTATAATTCCAGTTTCCATTTCATTCTCCATGTTCTTTTCCATTTTAGTTCTCCGTTCTTGGGGGTAATATCCCCAAATGGTACCCCTGATCTCGGGAACCCGACACTTCAAGCCCTGAAACCTAAATCGTAAGCCCTAAAACCTAAGGTGGTCTCTAGTGGCAGCCTCAGGGCACCAGCTGGCGACCTCGCGGCTGCAGTCCGACCTGGCGCTGCTTGGAAGTAGGTTGGATGGAGGGAATCTGGCACCACGTGATGTACTTCAGGGTTTAGGGCTTAAGGTTTAGGGTTTCAGGTTTATGGGGATACCCGATAGGAATTACAGATTTCGGGGGTCCTGAGTGGCATGAAATTTCTTACATCCACCGCAGGTAGGGAAGCACTCGAGGTGTTGCCAGGCTGAATCTTGCGTCCCAGGTTTCACCGCGGCTTCGGCAAGCTGGGTAGAGCGCTTTTGGCCATGGCCACTCTTACGGACCCCAGGAACGTCGAGTCCCAGAGTCGGTTTAGGCTTGAGGCTTTAGGCTTTAGGGTTCAGGG